AATGTATATAGGAAAACGAAAAGCCACAAGCAACATTTAAATCTGTCGGTTTTCGAATAGATCCTTTTCACTGTCACGCAACAAAAAAATAAATTGGAAACCGTCCAGTGGAAGAAGCCAAGAAAATGAAATTTTGTAAAAGACAAACATATAAACAATTTGTCCAAGTCTCAGGCCATTGTGGCCCACAGTTTCTGAGTTATTTGCCGAAACGTTTCACGCATCTTTGTAGAGCTGTGTATGGAGACGTCACATTGGTGTACCGTTCTGGTCCACCAATATGGCCGCCGGAGATCAACAAAAACATCTGGAGTTCACTTTTCTATGAAAGTTCAAATTGCTGTATTTTCGAAATGAAAAATGCTAAGGGAATGGAAAATTGTAGAAAGACTTATTATTTGTTTATCTTCAAACTAATGTAAAAAAGAATTCGTAAAACCTCGCTATTTTAAATTTACAATTTGATGACGACACTGTGAAAACCATCTATAACCTAAGAAAAACTGAATTAAGAATCCTGTTTTCCAATGTCATAAAGAAACTAAAAGCGTGTTGAAAGGACATTCAAATCCGTTTTTAACGCCGTCAAAGGAAAACAAAAACAACAAAAAAAAGTGCTCGAAAACGATTACATAAAATGCTGTTTTAGTGAGAGTATAAACAGTAGAATGCGTTGATGTAGAGTTAATTACTGTAAAATGTAAGAGTCATACCCCTCCGTGACTTGTGTTGTGTCGATTAATTCTTGATCTTTCGTTTTTTGGTTATTTTGTCCTTCAGTCCTAACAGTCAGCTTGTATTCGCTGTTTACGAATGTTTCTGGAGTAAAAACTTCGACTGTGTACTTCACTGTTAGAATTAAGAAAAATAAGTACAATTTTACATGAACACCCATTGCCCACTGACATTGCTCGAACATGTAGTGGACATCATTGCTCATCCGTCTCTTTTGTGAGGTAATTTAAATTGTCATAATGTGGCTAGCTGAATTCCTAATAAGCATTAACAGTGATGCAGGGAGTCAAGGCGATCGAGCTGGCAAAAAAAAAATGATTTAGAAGCAAAAACTAGCTTCGGTAAATTTTATTTGTATGTGCCTTCAAAGACACGTATCTTTAGGGGCAGTTTAATAAACCAAAGCTAGAATCACGCGCTGTTTTTTAAGTTTTTGAAATTCATGGCACTAAATCAGGAGCCCTGCATGCACTAAATAAATTATATCTATTTTGAGTAGCCAATCGGAGCCCGCAACAAACACTATCCCCTGTTTTACACACAGACAGAGTTGCAAATTCCCCTAAGACTTTCATTAGCAAAACAAAACATACAAGTTAAAGAGGTCCATTGATGCCAGTCTCTTTCTTAGGTTTACAGTGTGTAAGCGCAATCTTTGAACCGATTACTGTACCACTGTCAGCTGACTCAAGCTGACTACTTGCTATTTCCCCGTGAATAGCGCACTCTGCTGAGACAATCTGACCAGGAATCAGGTAGACGAAGAACCACGTTGTGGATGTGCTACCTCCAAATCATTATTTATTTTATTTTATCGTATTATTTTCTTTGACAGAAAAAGAAGAATGTGACCTCGTCTTATATAGTACAAAAGATGACAAATAGATGATAGGGATACTGGAAAATTTTCAGATTTTCTGATTAGATAACAATTGCTAGATTTCATGCCCGGGGTATTATGCTGAAATACAATGTTTAACAACAAGTTAGATCAAAATTTGGGCCAAAAACTATTTTTTTTAGTAGTTCGCAATTAAAAAGGGTAAAAAAAGAGTAATCCATTTTACTCTTTCAAAAATGGATCATCTAAATTTCAATTGAACTTGTGACTTACCCTTACAGGCCACCAACCGTTTCACCTTATCCGCAAGCTGATCTGCGATATTGTTCACGTTTGAAGTGCTAAATTCGGTGGTTATGGCATCGTCTGGTTTCGACACAATGACTTTAAGGTCTTGTAATCGTTTTGAATTGTCGGAGTTGGAAATAAGAGCACCAGCAACGTTGATCTTCTTTGTGTCTTTCATTAATTTTTCTACATCTCGAAGCTTGTAGGTATCTATGATCCTGCCTCTCCTATTCTCGCTGTTCCCATCTGAGAAAAGCACAAGAACCTTAACCAACATAACAAAGCATTAATATTTTGAAACTGATTCCGGAAACCAGTGAGCTGGCTACTGAGTTGTTTTTGTGTCGAATTGTCTTATGGGACTCCTGTTTTAGAGACACCCGCCTGCATCTTTATTAGTTGTTACAAATGTCATTATTAAATTCATCCCATGCTGCAATTGAACACCACACCAACCCAGTCTCAAGCCGACTATTTGTATGAGGAATGCTCCTATGTCCTATATGTTCCAGAAAAATAAAACGTGGAAAGAGACACTCAAGGATCTCATCAACTTAGAAGGAGGGCGATACGCAATTTATTTTTGGTGAAGAAAAAATGTATATAACAAAAGAAAAACATAACTTTTAAGTAAAACTTACCTTTTTGTTGTCAGTTGGGCGACTCTGAAACTCCTGTATGGTTTGATTAAGAATAGGTCTTAACATGTTTTTGTCTCCGTTATTTCGCTGCTGTTTGGTTTTACTAAACAATCCATTCATGCATGAAAGTGTTGTCGCCTTGTTGCCAAAGGAACTGATGTTTAAGTGCTCAGCGTACATTGCAAATGCAAAGTTGTAGGTCACAGTTGTATCATCGTCTAGAACAGAGAGCAGTCTTTCCGCTACAGATTTTATTATTTGAGTTGTCGATGCTGAAATTTTCTCACTGTCTTGTGCCAGAATAATCACATCTGCCGTGATGCTGCAATAGTCGTCTGTAAATAATTATACAACGAGTTATTATCAGTAGAGACAAAATGAAACACGCGTGTTCGCGTAATTTTTTAATACATTTTTCATCGGTCTTAGCATCATGTCATCTCATATCCTGTCATACCACTTTAAATCAAATCATTTCGTATAATATCATGCATTGTATAGAAAATTGGAAATTTTTGCAGCATCAAATACCAGAATCATGTTTAAAATAGCGAAATGTGATATGTCTTAACATTAACAGTTATATTTACGTCTCATAATTCCGAAGTATTTGTATGTAATTAATGACCCGCCTTGTAATTCAGTTTATGCTGCAAAAAGGTTGAATAAACAATCATCATTATTATTATTATTATTATTATTATTATAGCTTCTCAATATCGTTGATTCGGTGGAGGAGATGCGGTTTTGTGGGCTCGGGATTTCCTGAAAAGAGACGCACTGAGGCATTCTAATATCATGTAACAAATGTCATGTATCGTCACAGTGGCATCCTTACAGTGCTACGCGCCTTACCGTTGCTACTCGAAGAAAGTCTTTGATAAAATTCTGACAACTTTCTGATATCAGATGGCCAATCAGAATGCGCGGAATCTCCGTTGGAGAGACTTGACGGCGACAATTTGCCGCCGGTTTAAGCAGCGTGAAATTTTCCATTCTTTTTAAGAATGCCACAGCTAACGTTTTAATGAATAATCTGTTTGCCGATTTGCTCTTGATATTTTCCATCTAAGCGTTGACTGAGAATGAATGAAAGTTTACTTGTCCGTTGCACATTTATTCAGTTCTGCAGCTGAAGTTCAGTTTAAATACGACAGTTTAAGCATCAACGACAGTTGTTTGGGTTCTAAACTTCTAAACAGCTAAGTTCGTCGCCAGGTACTTGGATTTTACAGGCCAAACTTCCCTCGCCTCCTTTTGCAAGGGCACGCAGAGTCAACTTCGTTAGCTTGAATAAATGTTTTCTTGTAGTCCTGGGCCCGGTTGCATAAAACCTGCACTTAAGTGCTTACTTAAGTAGGTCACTTACGAATGCGTTATGGGTACACTTACGGGTGTTGCATGGAACACACTTAGCACTCTCGTAAGTTTCTGTTTTACGTGGTAACTTACGGGCTCACTTAAGGGCACACGTAACTTTGTTATAGTACTTTAAATTATTAATTTGACTCACTCAATTTTTTCAAATTAAGTTAACCATCGGTGAGTGTAAAGAAAGTGTCAAGTCGTTTCGAACACCTTTTTAAGCCTCTCATTCAAATAAAGTTTACATGAAATCGTTATTTTACTTCAATATCCATCGGAAATGTTTGTTGTTCTTCTTTTTTCTTAACGACGACTTTAAATTGTACATCAGAGGTTAACAAAGCGCATTAGAACGGAATTACGAAAAGAAAATACAATTTTTTTCACTTCTCAGTAAAAGATCTCGTTAACTTTAGTAAAAACAATAAGGATACGGGACCTACATAGGTCCCGTAAATTTACGTGCTAATTTTCCCGTGAAAAGGGTTTTATGCAACACCCGCAATTTCTGTTGCATAAATGACACTTAAGTGGATACTTACGAAAATCGTAAGAGCAGCCACTTAAGTGAAATCCCTAAGTGGACCACGTAAGTGAGTTAATGCAACTGACTTAAGTTACGAGTACACGTACGTATACCCATAACTGTTACGGGCGTTTTATGCAACCGGGCCCTGGTCTTTCACTTCTTTCGCCGTATTAAGAAGCATTTGCAAGAACGCCAAAAAAAATATGTTTGACAAACATTCATCGTAGGTAAGTGTAATCTTATCTTCGTTCAGGGGAGCCAAAGAAGAACAATACTTTTTAATGCTACTTACAAAACCACCGTATGAGACATTTTCTAGGAGAAAACTTGCAAAAAACTTTCCATAATCGTTCGCTTGTTGTGAGACCTGTAAAATCCCAAGGGAGTGAATGGACTTATAATTTGACATTTCCGCCCTTGGCAATTCTCATTTTCTGATTGGCTGAAGTTAGCAAAAAGCTGTCAAAAAGATGTCAAAATTCAATCAAAAACATTCTTCGAGTGGCAAATGTAAGGAGCGTAGTACTGTAATAAAAAAATGTGACTTTGTTGATTGTAATCCCCAGGCGTTACGAAATTCGATTGATGGAGTTTTTTAAGGCTAAATGTGTATACCCAATTTCCTTGTATTACCTTTAGGTATTTCACAAATAAAGGCTTTATGTGGCTGATCTGCCAGGTTTTTAAACAGGCCTTTTGTGCTTGAAGAACCCTTCGTCATTACAGCCACATTTCCGTCACCAGATGGCTGGCCTGCTTGCCATTTGCTGATTGTCAATGATTGGCTGTTAACCCACTTCCAAACTGTTTGCTCTTTTTTCAATCCTATATGCCATTCCGCGATAGCACGCGCTTGAATCTCTTCATTAATAAATTGCCATTCTTCATCAGTTTCTATAGAAACAAGGTCACCTTCTTTACTCTGGCAGTTGTTTCGGTTCTCGGTCCATGTTTCTCCTGACTCGGTAAATGTGTAGCAGGAATCTTCAAAGCATATGTCATTGTTTTCTACAAAACAAAAATAGTGGAAGTACCAGAAAACGTTTCTAATTTATCAGTGCTTAAGTTAAGGAAAAAGTAAGTTAATAAGCCTCCCTCCCCACCCCTAATTATTCTTCACTAATCAATAATAGACTGTAGTTATTAATCAAGATCATAAAGCTTCGTGTGGACTGATCCGGGAGAGTTTTTTTACCAACAGGAAGTTCGGATTTGATTCTGATCCTCGGCTGATCCTCGGCTGATCCTCGGCTGCATGACCTAAAACTTCTTGTACTTGAGCTTTTTCACTTTGTACATGTTTATCCGTCTCAAACTCGAATATTTGACACAAGCCGATGTCAATTCGGTCGATTGTTATTTGGGTATTTTCAGTACGAGCAAAAGCGATTATTTTAAATTTAAGATCCCTTTAATTAAATATAAATCTATCCTTTTAAACCAGGGAAATTCCCCTCAAAGTATCGCTAACAGTTCTTTATATCCAATAAGAGCTTATTTTAAGTTGTAGGACTGGCAGAATGTAAGGATTAGTTTTGATGCGGAGGGAGGAGGGTGTGATTTTGTAAATAAAATGAGCCCGTACCTGAGAACGCGCAAGTATTACTTTGTGCCCATCCGCTGTATCTGTCCAAGTCCCTCCCGTACTGATTAAAGCATCGAAACATTTCCATGTCACAGAGACAAACAGCGTGATTGCAAGTCGCTCTTGCACCTCTTTCGTTTTGCGGATAGCGGTTTGGTGTAGCTGCAAGAACAAAAATTAAATACATTTTACTCAACATGGAATTTGACGTGGTTACATGAGTTTCAACTGAAGCTTTTCTATGGAATTTCTATGGTAAGTTGCTCCATTCGCTGATGCAATGGAATGAACAAGTTAATCCCGGATGGGTTATCCTGGAAATAACGTGATTTTAGCCACCAATGAAAACCGCCCCCACAAGTGGGTCGGTAGTATTTATCTTTCGAGCCTCCCTTAAATAATTAACAATTAAAGAATGAGGCTGAGTATCTTATGAAGAATTATGGAGATCGAGGAGGGTGTTATCCGTCGAGGCCGTAGGCCGTGGCGGATAACATCCTCCGAGATCTCCATAATTCTTCATATGATACGAAAGCCGATTTCAATAATTGTTTTATTATTCATTCAAAATAATTCCCAGTTTAAAAACATAGCTAAAACAAGCTTACCTGCATCGATGTTAAGTTCATTTTCGATAGTTCACGTTTAGGTTTGTCCAGCTCCGCAAATGTTCTCCAAATAGCAGATGTCGCCCTCTGAGTTGTCTTCTTGCTGTTTTTGCTATGTTTTTTGCTATTATTACGCCTAGTTCCAGCTGTAGTTTTTGCTCTTGAAACGAGTGAAGTGTCCGCCATTTCTATTTTCTCAGCCAAAATAACTCAGCCTCGTTCTCACGGTGCCTTAACCTGTAAGAACGCTGCATTTTTGACGTAATTTCCTCGTTAAAGTCAAAATTCTTCCAAATTTGGTCGTCAGTAACTGGTTGTGGTAAATTATGCGTGTGCTTTTAGCCAATCACAATTGGGGAAATATTTTGAATGAATAATAACTTACATCAGTTAATGCACATTCGCCAATTTATGTCATAGATAAGTTATCAAGGCTTGTTGACCCAAAATGAAACTTTTTCTACAATTTGACTAACAACAGACGACTGTTTAACTGTGACAATAGACGGATCGAAACGCACCAATTACTGATTACCATAGCCAATAACATCACGGCTTAACTGACAGACGACCAATAACATCACGACGTAATTGACCAATCAGATCAATAACCAGAGCATAATACCATCAACTGACGTGATGCAACTCACTTTGACTCTGAAGATTACTACCGCACAGGTTGTCGAAACGTCAGTCACTGTCAACAACAACAGTCCTATTCAGGACTACGTTCACCCAGACGATCAAACTCAACCTACTTTTGAAATGACTCCTGGGTTCAAACCTTTCACAGTTTTATCAGTAATGTTGTGATAATTAAGACAAGCATTGTGTTTATTTGTTCAGGATGTCACTGACAAGTTTAATTGGAGCAATCGTCGAAAAATGTCCCTCAATTCATCCGACAGATTTGTTCAGCAAACAAACTTTCATTAAATGTGAAGAAAGCACATTACTTTTTTTTAATTAAAAGAGAAGAAAATAAATCAAAACATCACAATCAAAGTAAACGTTGCAGGTCAAATTTGATTTCAGGTTAAAATTGATTTAACATAGGTTGATTCTCAATTTCCTTTGTTTCGTAGCCCTAATTCATGGTAATTAGGGCTAGGAGATAAAGGAAATTGAAATTCAACCTACATGTAGGTTAAAAGAATTTAAACTGAAATTAAATTTGACCTGTAACATATACATAGACGAGTATCTCTCGTGGAAACATCATATTAATCAAGTTACATCACTGAAATCTTGTCAAAAGGCCTGAATATTTTTCCACGTTTAAAAACATTATATTAACTTACTACATCGTTGGTTGTCAGTATTGTACCGGTATGCCTGGTCGATAAACTGTGCATGACCCCTACATTTGCCTCCGTCACTGGAGAGTGCAATCTCGCAAAAATCATGAGATTTGCAACAGCTAAAAGAAAATTGAACATAAAATCGGGTAAGACTAATCTGTGCAACCGCAGACCGCGGAACCTGTGGAACCTAAAGAAATGACTGCTTTATTACAACTGGCTTTAGTTAACGTGATAAAATAATTGGTTACGATCAATTATAACATTGATAGACTGTTCACAGTCACTTTTTGCCGTAAGATCGTTGAGATCGAGCTCTCATGATCACCTTCACTGGCGGTGCTTTTGTAGTTGGATTCAAATATATCGAGAGGGAGGGCCTCTGGGTGCCCAAACCGTCCCCCTCCCTTTAAGTAGTTCAAGGTAGACACGATCAAGATGGCCGCCTGTGGCGCCCATTCTCGACGATCTTGCGGACAAATAGCGGACTTTGAACAGTGTATACCGGTAAGAGCATAACATTAATGAAGAGCTCTGGTCAAGAGAGGTATATATTTCAGGATAGTAGCACAAAGTTGGGAGGATGAGAGAATGTAAATGTGTTGGTGGAAAATACAAGATATTGAGCGAGTGGCTGGGTGGTAACCGACAACTAGAGGGAAACGTGTGGGTAAGTCGCTTGTGTGAGCGTGTGTGATATGGGACACGCTGTATCTCCTGTTTGAGGAGACCGAGATTGTATCCACGTCTGTTACGGTATTCTGCTTGTGTTAATTCGTTTACAACGCAGTTTGAACTTCTGAAGGAACATATACGTCGTATTCTCAGGGCAAGGCTGAATGGAAAAGCTCGTTTAGTGTGTAAGAGGTGACTGATAATGAGCGTAAAAGGTACTGATGTCCGTCTGCGGACACCTTGACGTAGAGGACGTAGAGAAAGGAGAAAGATTTGAATGAGCAGCTTGATATAAATTTAATGGGGTTAAGGGGTAAGAGATTAGGTAAGAGATGGAATAATACTTTTATAGTAACAATGAATTTGAGGAAGTCTCAAAGATTCTGTGTGTATAGTGGATGTAACATGATGTAGAGCAGTCACGAGAAGTAACGGCAGGCGCCAATAATACCCTCATCTCATCCTACTGTGTTTTTTTAAAAAAACTATACCTCTTGTTTCCTTTCGACGACTACTAAGAAGCCAGAAGTCCGCGATTCGAGGAAAATAAATTTTGAATACGAGCAGGAGCTAGCTTGTTTTGGACATCATACATTAAAGAAGAAACAGATTCGACATAAAGAAAATGAAGGGGCAGGATATTGAGATTAACAAAAAAGGAATAGCGTGTTCACACTTTGGAAAAAAGGTTATTAAACGTATAGCCCGCTTTTGAAGGAGAAGAAGCTTATCCAATGTTGACTGTGACGCTTGACCCCACGTGCTAATTCCATAGGTGAGGTAGGGCAAAATAAGAAACTGATATAACCTGACAATAATAGAAAGGGATACAAAGTGTCTCAGTTTAGCTATCATGCCAATGGTCTTGCTAAGTTTTAGAGCAATTAGATCAATATGACCTTTCCAGATAAGATTCTTGTCAATAAGTATGCCAAGATATTTTACATAATCTTTACATTCTAATGGTGAATATGACATTAATTTTATCGTTGTCAAAAATATTTATCGTTGGTTAAAATGATAGCTTCTTTCTATAATTTTGAAATATCACATAATTAGATTTCTTAGCATTTAGAGTTAGTTTGTTGGCTGTCAACCATTTGCAGAGTTTGTTTAACTCAACATTTACTTCTAATTCTAGGGGTTTAAGGTTTTTATTACTGTACGAGATACTGGTGTCATCGCAAATAAATAAAACTTGAACTTATCTAACAGTCTGTGATATCATTTATATACAACAAAAAGTAGAGGCCCCAGAACGGAAACTTGGGGAACGTCGCAATCCGAGGCAGCCTTTTCAGCCATGGGGGCCTATATTAGTTGTCTGTGAACCCAATTTAAGATATAAAAAGGACCAGTTGTTAAGCATCCCTCTTATTCCATAATGATGTAATTTCTGCAGAAGAATTTCACAATTTACTTCATCGAATGCCTTCTTTAAGTAAATAAAGATGCCACAGGTATCCAACTTATTAGTATATACACACTCAGTGATCTTGCTGAATCAAGCAGTCTGATTGGTTCGCTATCTCGGACTATTCAACAATATTCGCCTCCTAGCGAGTGGATAATGTTTTAGCTCGGTGTTTTTCCCATTTTTTTAGAGAACGATTTATTAAAAGTCGACAAAATCCTAGGGTTGACTTTTTTAAAGGCAAGAAAAGACTTGGAAGGATTCAAAATGGCGTTTTCCAATTACTGTAGCTGAGTTTTGTGCTCGATGGATTGTTAACAACTCCTGTTTACACGCGTAGAAAAGACCGTTTCGTGAAAGCAAATGTTTGAGGTTTTCTACGTTTCAAGTAAATAGGAAAATGAATAATGCTACATGAAGGCGACGTCT